TATTCATAATTGCCAAGATATGGCAACACCTAAGTGTCTGTCAGTGCATGAATTGGTCATGAAAATGTGGTATATGTTTATGTGTGTGTGTGTATGTGTTTACAAATAAATAAATAAATAAATAAATAAATAAATAAATAAATACCCTAACCTAACTCCTAACCCTAACCATATATATATATAGTGAAATATTATTCAGTCTCAGTGTGGATAGACCAGAAGGCATTAGGCTAAGTGAAATAATCAGGCAGAGACAGACAAACACTGCATGATGTGACTTATATGTGAAATCTAAAAAAAAATGTCATACAGAAATAGAGAAGAGAGAAGTGATTGACTGAGGAGAGGGGGAGAGAGAGAGAGAAGCTGGTAAAAGGGTTCAAACTTTCACTTATAAGGTGAATAAGGTCTGTGGATCTAACGTATTACATGATGACTGCAGTTTTGTATCACTGACATTTGCTTAGACAGTAGGACTTAAATATTCCTGTAAACAAACAAACAGAAAAGGGTAAATATGTGAGGTGATGAATGTGTTAGTTGAAAGGGCCACCTTTTCACAATGCATATACTTATCAAATGATTACACTGTACACCTTAAATATTTTTCTGTTTTATTTGTCAGTTAAACTTTCATACAGCTAAAAAAATTAAAAAAAGAAGTGTTTTCTTCACATCCATCCCAACCTTCACCTAGTTAACCGCTACTTGACTCAATTTAGACATCAGCCTTCGGTGACTCTCCCCTTCTGGGAATTACAAGATATAATGTGCAGCATAAATTTTGACTTTGCCTCATTATATGATCTTAATCATATGCCTGTTTATTTCCTTTCTTATTGCCTTGGTGCTAACCATGTGAGTACTTGAATGAAGTCTCGAATTTTCTCAAGGAAGGTTTCTGTTGTGTTCATCTTTTATCCACTGTATCAAGCTCATTATTCAGAATATCATTGTCCCATATAGTTGAATTGACTAATGAATTGAAACACTTTTCCAGTAAATATTTCTGCTCCAGGCACTATCAGTTGGTATAAAATTAATTAAAGTCCATGTAATCAGAGCCCTTAAAGACACTAAAATAAAAACTTCACTTATTCTTTTCATCTTTGGACTTCATTCGAAGTGCATTTAAAAAAAATCATACAAAAGCTTAACTGTAGACATGTTTGGGGACATGTAGTTGATCTTATTCAATCAGTGATTTAAAATTGTGTCACAAAAGAAAATAATATTGTCTCAATCTGAATAACTGCTTATAGTGGTATTATTCTTTATCTTAATCAAAGAACTGAAGTTCTCCAGAATGACTAGAAGACTAAAATCCTCATGTCTTCTCTTCTGTTTTTGGGTTTTCCCTGTCTCAGCCAATAACGTCTCATGTCTGGAAGCTGAGCTCCTTCTGCAGGAACTGCTACCTTTGCTATCTTTTGCTGAAAGTAGCATGAAGCCTCCATCCTCTCTAAGGCTGAGCTGCATCCAAGCCTTTCAGAGAGCCTACGCGTTCAGACTTCCAGAGGATCAACAGGGAGGCAGGTGATGATCTCCACTGTATTGAGACTCCATCACTCGGAACTATGACCCTGACATTTATGACCCAGTGTTGACAACGAAGTCACCTGAAATCTGCTCTGCTAATCGTTTCAAAATTATCACCCCACCTCCCGGGCGCACACACACACAGTAACTCTCCTTACTGCTTGTTTGTTACGAAACACAAATTAAAACTGTAAAGAATATGGAAGCATATATAAAATCCTAACCATTTCAAAGCAGATTTAAAGGGAATATTATTGTTTCCCGTATTGAAACAGAGATTGAGTAAAACACATATTGAAATTTACATATAATATTTATTTCTAGCCTTAATGCTAGAAATTATATTTAAACATACACAGACACAGACCAACAACATTAAAACCAACCAAACAAACAAATGATTGAGTGAATATTATGTTTGTTTCTTTTATTTTAACTGTAATTTATCCTGTCTTCAGAAACAATGCTTACGTTTTAAATAATTACCAAAACTGAACAGCAGAGGGCACAAAATAGCAAACTCTTTCTTCAAGCACATTATTCTGTTCAATTGTAGTCTTGGTAGTTTTGAAAATTTCAAATTCGATTTTACTACTCATTAATTTGAGATATATTCTTGAAACAAGAAATTTGGAAGTATTAAAAATAAGTTCTAGTATTTTTCGTTTATTCGCATAACCACTTTAGCCAATTTAAATTTATTACATTTATACTGACAGTATTCTATGCTTGAAAAATACATTATATAATAAATGTCATAGTAAATTTGAAAAAGTTCTATGAATGATAATATAAGTACGATGATGCTAATACTGCAAGAAATGTATCCAGATTTGTTGTGAAAGGTACAAACATAACTGCCTTGTGAAAGGCATGTTAATACAATAATAGTTGAATTACAAGAAATGCCTGCTAAAATCATTTCCATTTTATAAGTTAATTATAATTGGTTACTAGATTGTAATATTTGACTTGAGTTCTTACATATTATTTATTAAGGAAAACACTTCTATGATTCAGCGAATTTTTATTTTGTATTAATTTTTAGGATGTAATTCAGTCAATTTTGAGTTCATCTTTGTCTCTGACTTTGAAATAGATTAAGATAAAAACAATTTTTGAAACACATTCTCTTAAAAAATTTAATTGACATTGACCCATACTTCAAACATTACCAATTCTCCACATTTAAGCTCCTTGTCACCCCATTGCCCCCATTCTTTTCTTCCAAGTTACTTGGTATGAAGTTGAAGTTTTTCTTGTGGAAAAAAAATGAATAAAGAAAAAAAGAAGATGGCTGAAAAAGTATTTTTGTTTTGCCTTGAGCTGTTTTTCATTATTTTATATATTGAAAAAAATCAAAGAGAATAATTCAAATCCCTTTTTTGTGCCTTATATCACAACTAGTGATTGAATAGATAAGATTTATTTAATTGTTCTCTATATTGTAAATGTGGATATACATTTATTCATGTCTTACTATTTTTATTCTTTTTTTAATTTTTGAAAGGCTAAATGCATTTTGATTCACAGGACCTGTTTTATGCGCAGCGAAGTGTTTATTACAGACTAAAATCAATTCTTGGTGATAAAGTTGGGAGATGTTTTTACCTGTAGTTTAAAAACTTAGTAATAGATTATGAATATTTTTAATTCCTGGCTTGGAAATACATATGGAAAATCAAAACCAGGGAAAGACCGTGACTTGATATGACAGAATTGCAGGACTAGAGAGCCATTGAGGCCACTTTACTTATCTTTCTCATTATAAAAATTGAGGCCCAGAATGATTAAGGGGCAAGTATGAGATAACAGTCAACAAAGAAGCTGTAAAAGTTGGTATTAATGTGACAACTGCACAGGAAAGCAGCACGGCAGACTACAGCTTGGCATTCTGAAATATCAGGAGGCTACTCCTTCCTATAGTGGGCTCCAGTCTCCTGCCTCCCGAGACATTCCCTTGTGCTCAATCATCCTTTATCTCTCTGTTAAAACCACAAAAACCATAAACTTAGGAATTTCTGAAGCATCAGAGAATTGCCACAGCACATTCCCAGGCATCCCCTTGGCAAGCAGTGCTAAGCAAAAATTCCCAAGGGATCCTCCCTCCCCCACCAACTCCCTTTCCATAGGCTTTTAGTCCTCAACCTCATGTTTCTTCTCCAGGGGTCTCTAGCTCGTGGGTTCAAAGCGGGGAGCACTTAGTTTACTTTCTTTGAACGGTGATATTTTCTAAACTCACGGGCAAAACGCTATGAAGTATCCGGTTTCTAAGTCTCTGAGAAAGACTGTGCAGCTCAGCGGCCTCTCAAGACTTGCTTCATCTTCTAATTTCTTTCTTCTACAAGACTTTCCTTGAAACGGAGTCACCTGCTTTCAATTTGTCTAAAGTCGAGCTTCTAAGGAGCCAAGTCTACTTGTCTCTACTACCGGCGAAAGTCTGCAGTGAAGGCTGCGAGACAGACCCGCACGCAGCGGGCTGGGCAAGCTGGCACCGCAGCCCAACAGAGCATCCTCTCAAGATGGGTCTCCATGCAAAGTATTTCAAAGATTGAAGCGTGGTCTTCTCCTATGTGGCTCGGGCATTTAAAGATCGAATTTCGGGCTTTCCCTGGATCTTAGTTACATCACATTTTGCTCAGGTTCACAATTTTTGGAACCCTTGATCATGGATGTTTTATTTGCTCCTTCGCTTTTCGGGCTGGATAGGGGAGGTGGGTGGCAGCGTTGCTATATTGCTCGGTGGGTTTTACAGGCTATAGGAGATTAAAATCAACACTGCTTTTAACGTGAAACAGCAGGGCCTGGTGAGAGGACGCCTCCCCGCCGACGACAATTAGCAATCCGGCTCCTGCAAGGCCGCCGGAAGTCGGCTTCGCTGCCTCTGGACCGCGCTGGAGCATCGCGTCCGCCG